TTTCACTATATGTTGCTATATCGCTTTTTTGTTTGCTTTTGGCTGTTTTTATACACTGGTTTGCGTTATTTTCTTGTGATCTTTTTTTTTTTTTTTTTGTGCTGAATTTCTTTTTGAATCGATTTTTTATTTTCAGGTCTGATTTTTATATTACTGTTAACATGAATAACTTGCTCTTTTTTAGTATTAATGAGAATTATGATAGCTTTAGGAGCAGTAATGAGAATGTTAATGAAACCTCTGTCAATATACTCAACAATTTCAATACTCAATACAGTGATGAGTGTGTAATCGAAGAAAATGAATCAGATTTGGTGAGTGAAGATGAAATGAATCGGATTTGGAGAGTGAAGATGAAAATGCAAGCGCTACGTATTCTTTGGCCAAAAATCAGATCTTCGAATCTTGGGATGATGTTGATAAGTAAGTGCAGTTAAAAAAATTTTTGTGTTAAAAATTAAGTTTGAATATTTCATTAATATCTGCCTTTAGGTACTTTGAATATTATGGCCAGGCGAATAGCTTTGCATTTTATAAAGTTCATAGTGAAATTGACAAGGTCGATGAGAAACCCCAACGTTATGTATATTCATATACGAAAGGTCGAAGATATGTACAACATAAGGAAGCACATGTGATTGACGAAAGAAATAAAGGTTATAAGACAGAAGGTTGTCCCTTTCATGTCAATTTATATTGATGGAAGAGTGATAATAGGATTCATATTTCAAGCATTGCCGGTATACATAATCATGAAATGGTTGAAAACATTACTATGATTGAACCTAGTTATTGACGTTTGACTAAAGAAATGCAGAATGACATTCGATTACTTGCAGCTTGTGATGTATGAGCTGGTGCAATCATTGAAGTTTTACAGAAAAAAAATCCTGGAAAATATATCCATTCACGTAATGTTTATAATATGATATAAACAATTCATTGTAAGAACCATGTAATGAGTGATGCAGCTAGTACGTATTTAGAACTTATTAAAAAACAACGTGAAGAGCCTGGCTATTATGTTGATGCAAGGTTTGAGGGAATAGATAACCACTTGGTTGGTCTTATATGGATGTGGCCAAGTCAAATACAACTTTGGGCCAGGTTTCATGATGTTGTCCTTATAGACACAACATTTAAAATGAATCGCTATATGATGAAACTTTGTATTATAATAGTTGTTGACAACTATAATCATTCATGCTTAGTAGCTAACGCTATCATATCAGATGAGACAAAGGAAACATTTTTATGGGTTTTAGAAAGTCTAGTTAAAGCATCAAATAGTTTAGCACCAAAGCTTTTATTTATGGATATAGATTGTGCAATGGTAGCAGCTATAAATGAAGTTTTGCCAAATACGAAGCACTATTTTTGTCTTTTCCATATTAGATAAAATTTAGAAAAATGGTTCATGGGTAAATATAAAGGCATGAAATGGGGAGAGTTTTTTAATATATTCTGTCATACAAGAAATAGTTGCGTAGAAGCTATTTTTGAGAGGCGTTGGGCTGATATGATACAAAAGTATCCTAATTCTGTACAATATTTGGAAAAACAACTTTATCCTTGTCGAAAGACGTGGGTTCTTTGCTTTACTCATAGATTATTCAATGCAGGTGTACAAACAACTCAACGAGTTGAATCGTATAATAGCCTTATCAAAAAATATGTAAATGGTACTACATCTTTGTTTGAGTTAATTAATATGATTGAGAAATTACTTGTAAAGGAGGGTTGATATCAACATTTCAATAAGGTTGTTGGTGTTTTGCCTAATATCTATAATGAAGAATATTATACTAGATATTTTAAGGCAGTTGATGAATCATGTCAAAAATTTTTAACGACCATGGTTCTTAAAATTCAATGTCGTGAAATAAATTGCAGCATTCACTATAGAGCACAATTAGTTAATTTAGAAGATGAGACTGGTCAGGTATGTTTTTAATGTTATTCAAGTACAGCAAAATATATAAAATCAAATCAAAATTTGGTTCAAATTTTTTTCTATAGTTGACTGATGATGTATCAATTGGAATGTTCAGCGATGATATGTTTGATGCATTTGTGATTGAACTTGAACAATTAATTAGTAATATAGATCATGTGCATATTCGTGAAATTTGGAAGGTCTCATCGATTGATTCAAAAAGCCAACATTATATAGTATTATATGATGAGGCAATGCATCTTTTTTTTTTGGTTTTAAGATGACCTCTTTGCCATGCTGCTCTTTATTCGAATATTAGTAATATTTTTAACCGTCAGACATATCTGACGGCTGTATATATTTGTAGAGTACAACTAGCCATACCTGCACCTTTTGAGCATCTATTTAAGTAGTCTGCCTATCACGGCAATGCATCTTTGTACCTGCCTAATATTGATTAATCGCAGTATTCCCTGCCGGCATTTTTTTACTATAATGTTATGCTCAAAAATTGCTAGGTTTCATATTGGGCTTATATCATGGCGATGGTATTTAGACCAGAAGGTAGACATGAATGTTACAAGTGAGCCTGTAATTTTTACAACAGTTAATAAACAAATTGGACAATTTGAGCACAATTTACAAGTTAATTTCACACATCTTGATAATATTCGTGGCGATTATGTTTTCACAAGTAAAGTTCGTAAAGAAATATCACACAAGAAGCTATAGGGTGAAGGATTTGGTGTTATAAAAAAGACTCTTGACTTAGCAATTGCAATGGGAAAATGCGATGAATTATATGATATGCATCTTAAATTTGTAAATGAAATGAAAATGGAGCTCATAAGAAATAACGGACACAACATTCAAGATGATAATGATCCTGCCCAATTCGCAATTACTATTAGCAACCTAATTGGTATCCATTCTAAGGGCAGAAAGCCAAAAAATGGAAGATTAATATCATTTAATGATAATAAATATAAAAAATGAAAAATAGATAATACAACTTGAGTTGATCATGAGGTACTGGGTGTTCATAGGAATGAATTGTCAGACATTACAAATTTGAACGTGTCTCGTCGTTGTGGTATTTGTGGTGAAACAGGTCACAATTCCCGTACATGTAATATGAACAGCCCTAATGAGGATGATTATAGTGATCATAAAGATGATGATTTGTCTTTGCTAGCGGAAAAAATAATATGGAGAATTTAAATTTCACAAATCAAGGTAAATTCAGTGTTGATGTCATTTAATAAATTAATAATAGTACTAATTATTCAATGCTACAATAGTCATTAGCCATGCCAACTATAAGAATACTCCTTGACGCTGTGGTGTTTGTGGCCAAGCAGGTCATAATGCATGTACAAGTCAAGATAGTTATGTTGATTATGATATGTCACTATCAGTTGCAAAATATAATAATGATATGTTTAAAAGTTTATATTTTTATTGAAATGGTTTTATAACTATTATTATTAAATTTTGTATATTGTAGCTGGTGTTAATTATGAAAATAAGTCTTGTCGTTGTGGCAACTGTGGTCAAACTAGTCATAATGTGCAATGTTACGAAATAATTTTACTATTTAAGTCAAAATTTTCATTTATTATATTTCGTGCTTGTACTGCATCTATTTTTAACTGGTACTATTATAGTATAGTATTTAGCTTTGTTAACTGTACTTTTGAACATTATTGTTTGAATGAATATTGTGATAGTCTTGATAGTAGCATAGGATTTCATAAGCTATTAACTATATTATTTTAAGAGCTAGGTTTCATGCATAGTTTTTTTTTTGTTCAGCATGGTTTTTTTTTGTAGTAGGGCAATGATAGATTAGGTTATATGAGCATTGTTGAATTCAAAAGTTCTGGATAGATTAGGTTATATGAGCATTGTTGAATTCAAAAGTTCTGGTTAAACTTTGTGGCATAGTAAAATAGTGTCAAGGTTTATTTCTATTGTTTTATGATACTCGATTCAAAAGTATTTAAATTTTATATCAAGGTAAGAATGAGTTAGGATTATATTATAACAGTTTATTTTCATTGTTATAGTTATGCAAAAGACATTGTTCCGAATGAACATATTTGAAAATTTGGCCAGTATTAGATCTAATATTAGGATTATGTTCTTTAGAAAACTTGGGTTAACAATGATATTTAAGTGATAATATCATGTGTTAATATGTAGCATTATCCTTAATATAAGCGGAAATTTATTTAATTGGATAATAGAATTAAGTAGAGTTAGAACCGGTTTTGGTTTATATAATAAACAGGTTTTATTAGTTTGAAGTTTGTAAGTTGTAATATTAATGTTAAGCATGCAATACAAATCATGTGCTAATAGTAAATATTTATTTGTTGTTATTTTTACTAAAGGCATATGAAAATTGACCAGCATTAGGGTTAAGATAATGAACATCATACAGTAAAATTTGGCCATAATTTTTTTTATTAGACGTAGAAGATTATTTTCTAGGCAAAATTTTGAGTTGCAATATTTGAAAAAGCCTTCGATTTCATGTTATACAAAGATTGCACCAATCTTGCAATCTATATAGAAAATTGTCTTTGTTTGGAGTTGTATTAATAGAAATATATATTAAACACATAGATGTTAAACAACTATAATAAGCAATACTATGGTGTATAATATATATGGCCTATAGTATGTAACACCTATGGTGTGTAACACCTACGGTGTATAACATCTATAGTGTGTAACACCTATGGTGTATAACACCATAGGTGCATTTTAGTAAACCTGTAAAAATCGATATTAAATCTAATTTATTATAATCAATAGCAATGATTTATCAATTATAATTGATATAATCTAATTGATTATAATCGATAACACAATTAAAATCGATAAAAAATTCAATTGATTTTAATCAACAGTGGTGATTATAATCATTTAAAATCTTTAGATTTTAATTAATTATAATCTAATTTTAAAATTTTCTGATGTAAATAATAAAAGTTGTAATAAATAAAGTTTTAATAAATAATAAAGTAGTAACAAAAATAAAGTTATAATAATAAAAAAATTATAAGAATAGAGTTATAACAAATAACTATAATGAATAAGTGTATAATGAATAAATTAACAATAAAGTTATAATAATAAAATTTGTAATATCATAATAAATAAAATTGTTGAAAAGTTGTAACGAAAAAAATTATAAAATTATAATGGTTAATAAAATTATAATGAATAATAATTTAAGTTGTTTCTTGAATAAAAGTTCAATAAAAGTTAATAATAAAGTTCAATTAACAAAACATTTAAATTTTGTTAATATAAAATTATTCAATAAAAAGTTAATAAAATAATTAAATTTTGTTAAAAATAATATTGTTTAAAAACTTGTATATTTTTAATAAAAAATATTTGTAACAAATTATTAAATTAAATTTTATTAATCCAACTATTTGTTATTTGAATAAAACAGATAGTTGTTGCAGTATCTATATTATCACTATAACCTATTGGTAGATTAAGCAATTTACAGGCAGGATTTGAACATAAGACTCTATAATGGCCACATTATATCACTACTTTACCAGTCGGCCGACATGTCAGAGATGATCATCATTATATTTGCATACATATAAAAAAAAATTGATCGATATATAAAAAAAATTTAAAAAATTTTTAGTTTTTTTAAATTTGCGAGTTATTGAGACGTTATACATGGTTCTTTTTCGGCTATAACATTTCTGCGGCTTTCTACAAACAGCAGTACAAATTTCGTCCATGGTTAAAAACACAGTTGAAAATAATCTTGAGCTCAAAGATTGGGTATAAATATGAATTAAGACAGTAAGATCATACCT